ACTCCAGGAATTTTTTTTTTCCTATTTATTACTTTGATGAATTTAAACTTTGGAGTTGTTTTTTTTTTTTTAATTCAGAAATTTCAACTTACACATCTCCAGAAGGATTGCCATGTTAAATAATGTGCTGTCTATAAAATTTCCAAAGTAATTTAGAGTTTTCGAAGTACAAAGATTATCCTTTTGGCTTTTTAATTCAAAGCTACATGCTGTTAGGGGGAAAAAGCCATAGTGTGCCTATCCTTTTAACTTGTAGTTAAAAGCCAGATACACTTTTGTTTGAAGTTATATGGCTTTGTCACAAATAGATGGCATAAAAATGCTCTCTACTTTCTTGTGATTCATCTTTATATTTTAAGAAGTGTGGATTTGTTCTATTTTGGTCTTATTTATTTGTTTCCTGCTTGCCGTGAAAGTTCTAGTTAAAAGACCAGTGAAACATCCAGAATGCCTTAGGCAAGAATGAGGAAAAGGATGTTTAAGGCAGTCTAAAACTTTCAGTTAACCAGCATTGTAGAGTGCCACTCCCTCAGTATCATTTATGTGGTGCTTCCCAACATACCTTATACTCAGTTGATTGTCCTTTTCATTGGGTTTATTCTACCCTTATGAATTGAAAACTAATAATCTTTGTCATAATCATTGTTCAATCTTTATTTTCCAAATAATAACTGGCATCAGTGAAGTTTATTTTTTACTGAGTTGTGGGAGACTGGCTTGATTGCGTCCATGAACAGCGTCTTGCACATACTAAGTGACCAATATAGCTTTACTCCTGTCTGATTGAGGAAAGGGGAAGAACAATCATTTAGAGTCTATTCTGGAGCCCAGCAAATCCCTAACCTCAGAAACCATCTCTGTCATAGTAATAGAGTACATGATATCCATGTATATGTACAGCCCAGATACACATGAAATAAGGGGAACAGCAAATTGACTGAGCAGTTCTGGTGGTGAAGGAAGGCAAATAAAAACTTGAGGAATTTTTATGAGGTGAAGGAAGAATTTCCAAGAAGGAGCAGCTATTTTTCAAATGTTGTATTACCACATATAATAATGAGATGATCTTCAGTGACTTAAAAACATAAGAATTCGTATTATTTATGAACAGACCAAACTAAATTGGTCATTTTGCTAGACCTTGTTAGTAGCCCAAGTGGAAGGATTGTAATTGACTGGGAAGGAACACAAGGGAAGTTTCTTGGTGGTAATAATACCAGAAATTCTTACCTTAATATTAATTATATGGGTATATATAATGATATTGAAAATAGGTCATGGAGGGGGGATACTGAATTGACACTCAATTTAACATGAATGTTTTGTAGAATCCTTGGAAGAAAAGTGTGGCAAACTTCTGTCTTAAAATCTCTGCTGAGCTTAGCATAGGAGCCATTTCCGAATAAGGACATTAATATTAATTTGTGTTGCAAAATATTTCAACTCCCCCCCAAAAGGATGCTTAGCATGCAGTAAAATCACATTTATTGAGCTACAGGAAGGTGAAGGCTGCTGAAGAGCATTCTGTTGATTCTTTGAGGACTTACTGCTTAAAAGCTTTGCTTTTCTTTCCTCTGTGCAGATTGGCAGATCGCTACTCTGGCTTTACTCCTGGGCGGCGCGGCCATCATTCTCATTGCATTCCTGGTGGGTTTGATTTCAATCTGCGTGGGATCTCGAAGGCGCTTCTACAGACCTGTTGCTGTCATGCTTTTTGCAGCAGGTAAAATATATTCATTATTTTCAAACCAGTATTAAAGATTCATGAATCTTTCTGTCCTCCTTTCTCATGCAGCATCAGTATGTGTTTGCTTCTTACATAAAAATTGAGATGCATTGGTTATCTTTTAAGGTAAATAAGCTGAATGTTTATCATATAATCAGTTTTCAGCCTGTTAAGCATTTCACAGAACAGTGGCAACTTAAACTTCTTACTAAAGCATGCATAAATAATGCTTCTTGGGCTGGGAACATAGCTCAGTGGTACAGTGCTTGCCTAGCATGAATGAGATTCTAGGTTCTAGTCCCAGCACTGAAAAAAATTAAAGAAAAAAAAAATCTTCTCCACAGGGTTCCTGGGATCTTGACTTAGCAATTACAGCAGATTTATTTATCATTAGGTATTTTTTTTGAAAAACACTCAACCCCCAGCCTCCTAGTTGACCTTAGGGCAGTAATAATAACTTAAAAAAAAATCTGATATGAAATTTGAAAATTTCCAAAAATATATAAAGGCATACATTTACTTGAAAATAAGCATAGTTCCATGGAAAAATCATGACAATTAACTTGAACCATCAGATAAGTTAATTATATGAGGACAGTTAGACTTCCATTAATTTGACAGCCATTATTTTGTGAAGCACAGTTAAAATAGAATTCTCAAACAAGGTAGACTGAATGAGAACTGTGTGAAAATAGGCTTGTGGATTACTACAAGACCAGTTCACTTGATGTGAGCTTTGATTTTCATTTATGATAATATCTTTGAATATATTACTCATTTTTACTCTTAACTGAAATATTCTTGTGGTATCTTCAATTTACCCTGTCCGTTAGATCTGATTTGAAGCCTGCAAAATAAGCCCCTGTGGCTGTCAATAACGAAGATGCTGACAGAACCATCTAGGTTGTTAGATGGATTTTTAAAAGCTGTTTAAGATAGGAATAGATAGAAAATTCTCAGGATTTAATGGGTAGTTTGAACTACAACTACAAAATCCAAAGTGTGTTGCTGCCCCCTGCTGCTTGTGTTCATCTTCTTAGAGCCAAGAAGTCTTCAGAATGTAGGCTTCAGAAAAATTAAAGCCCAAAGCGCTAAAGGGATCTGGACATAGATCTGATTTACACATTTAAATGTCTTGCTCCAGATCATGTGATAATGACCTGCAGACCTGGAACTAGAAGACACTGAATCCTAAGTCGTGGCTTATTCACTACTGACTTGGATTCATTCTTTTTTTCTTTTTTCTTGTGCATTTTGAGTCTATTGTTTTGTTCCTTAGTCTGGTGATTTTATCCTCTGTGATTGAAACTATCTTCTTTTTTTTTTTTTTTTTTTTTTTTTTTTTTTTAGGGTTTCTATTATGAGCTAAGTGTTGTATTAAGATAGATGTACAACTGGCCAAAATATCCCCACAAACACTTCTTTTTAAACAGACTGTAAAGCATTAATACAGACTATATTCTGTAGCTTTTGTAATGCCCTAGTATGATTTATTGGTACCATGTGTAAAGAAAGCCTCTATTGGGAATGATACAGCATCAAATAAAAATCGACCTTGAGATTCATCACTATTTGCTAGTTTGTTTTTTGATTCATTGATTTGCCATTGGCTCCTTTTCTGCTTTATACTAAAACTATGTTAGTATTTTAATTGTAGCATAAGTTTTTCTTTGCAGTGGGGATTTATTAACATTACAGTGAGATAATCAAGTTGAAGTCATTTGGAGTAATTGTCCCCCATGATATGTGAGTCCTTAAAACTGGAATTTTTACAAATAATTTTGAGAGCAGCGGGAATTTCTCATAAAGGATGAAACAGAGATACTGTAGTTATTTTTTTCTAAGTAGCCAATATTGTGCACACCTTGGTACTATTCCATTTAGACCTTAGCCCACTGTATAATGGCAAGTGCAAAAATCTGTAAGAAATCCATTGATGATAACATCTAAGAATGCTTAGAAAAATAGCTAGGAGTTTCTCTTTGTTTTCTTATGTGTATCTGTGTATATTTCCAAGTAGGGAAGAACTGGTGAAAATAAGTGCAGGTTATAACAGAAAATTATTGAAAATGGACAAGGTAAACATAATAGGTTTGACTAGAATAAAGATTTTGATTTAGCTCTAGCTGTCACACATTAGCAAATTATGAAATAATGAAATGAACCCCTGGAGCAAAATTCATATGGTATTGTTCTACCTGCTGATTCCCAAAATGAACATTATATTGTTGCACTTTAAATATGTACATGTGCTCAGATTCAATTTACTCTCTTTTGGCACTGATTATAGAATTTTGGGGATTACCATTAGTTTAGAGTTTTACTTTTTCCATATAAGCAGGCTTTAAAGGTACTGGTTTCTTATAACATGTCATGACCAGCCACTAAATCATCGCTTGTATTTGATTTTTGGAAAGGTTGTTTATTGCAGATAACAATCATTATTGATTTGCGTTTAAGATTGAAAAACCTAGAGTATCCACACCTTTGAAACTGCAGGCTTTAGTTATAATTTTTCTATGTTACTTACACCTTAGTAAACTTCTTGAAGAAGTTGGCTTATTTCACTTGTTCAGTAATTCTTTGCAAATGTCTGGATCATATCCCCCTTTTATTTATTTTGGCCTTTGTGAAAATCATATTCAATTCTCTTAGCAAAATGTTTTTCTTCTCCAAATATCAACAAGTCTCATGACACCAAGCATATCTTTGTGTCCTGTCACATAGAAAATTTGATTTGTTGAACACAGAAATGTTTATTTTCTTTTGCTGAAAGATGCAGTACCTATTTTCAAAACTGACATATCACTTCCACTTAGAAAAAATTTCTACCAAGAACAGCATACTTATATGCTGTGTCTGGTACTCATAAACACTCAGTAAATAGAATGACTGAGAAAAAGATGTCTAAAACATTTAGTTGATTATATTTTTTTATGAAAATCAAGCATGTATAACAGCAAATAATGTCCTTGAAAGCCATTCCACTCATGGAGGCGTAGGACCAGCAAGTTCCAGCTGTCCTCAAACTATTAAATAATAGTTACAAAAATGATTTTCTACTCATTTTTAGCATTTTCAGTTCTGCATTTAACATATATCCAGTATCTCCCATAGACAAAACTAATATCTTCATGGTGGGCAGTATATTTTAAGATTTTCTGAAAACTAAAACTGTCTTAAAGACATACAAATTTTGAAGATTTGTATCCTCTTTTTTTCTTTGAGGTCTTTCATTCAGTGTGGTCTTGTTACCAGCTTGAACAGTTGCTAATGGAGGCCAACCAGCATTGCAGCCTATTTAAACTATCACCTCATTTCCCATAACTCTCTTCCCAATCCTAGAAACCTAGGTTTCCAACCAGATATTATCTATTTTGATACTGCTGATAATAATAATTAACTGAACACCTTTCATATGCCAAAGCATGAGGCACTTAAACATATGTTGAGAATGAAGGGATGATGGTTGAGGGCTCAGTCCTAAACAAGACATTTATACCACCCCCTTAAGTCTGAGGGATCATTTTAGAAGGTGGAGCAGAAATAATTTAAGAGCCAGAAGTTGAGGGGAAGGGCTGTAAAATGCTATCTTCTAAACATGACATGGCCATGGCAGTCATGAACTCACAACAGCTGTGCCTACTGGCACCAGGCCCACAAAAGTTGAGTCCACTAAACAGTCAGCTGTGGTTGGGGAAGGGGTTCATTGTGCCCTATTGCTTATGGCTGAGCTACTAGCAAGCAATGGATTCTGTGAGAGGGAGAGGCACAGTTTTCAGTTGTGTCACACTTGTGAGCCCACTAGGCTCTAATGGATATTTCTAAATCCATGGTCACACAGATGGTCTGGGTTATACTATGAGACACTAAATAAAACAAAAAGTCATGAATATGGAAAAGAGGTTTGTAGGGAAGAAGGGGGGGGGCTGACAGGGGCCTGAGGGAAATAAGAGTGGGGAAAGAGTAATTGGAATGCATTATATACATATATGAAAATGTCAAGGAACAAAATTTGTTAATAAAACTTAACTATCATTTAAGAAAAAGAAATAGAAAGGTTAAGCTCCCCATTTCTCCAACTGTTGTATTGGAGAGCCAGCATTTAAATTTAGGGCATCACTCTGATTTGAAATACGAACTAAAGATTCCTGAACTTTAGTAGGTGCATATCATATCCCCAAAAAAAGAGCAGAGTCAACCTTGATTTTAATGCAGTTACCAATTATGTATTACAGTTGAGTCTATTCTGTAACTGCAGTTGCTCTGTCTCTCAGGAGCAACACTTAAAGGAAGTCAGATACTTGAAATGTCATAAATACCTCAAACTGACCTGTGCTGCGTGACTGAACCATATCCCATAATGGAAGCAGTGTGTTTTTCCAATGTGGTTTCGTACCTTGTATTCCTTTTCATGTAGGTGACATTGACTGATGAATTTCTAATACCTGAAATTCAATTTGCCTCACTAATGTCTTAGTGAAATTTGAGGGATTGTTTCTTTTTTGGTTTTCCTTTATTACCTGGTTTTGAACTGGCTACAGATCATTTTTATACCCCTGCAACAATTAGAATGTGTCATTTTGTTGTTCATCCACTTTGGGTTACAATTACATAAAAATTTCAGTCTTTGGTAATTCAGAATTTAAATAATATAACTCCAATTTACATTATTAAAGATGCTCTCTTTTGTTATATCTTCTGCAAGAAGCCTCTTGTAAGTGATTGCTTATATGGAATGGGATTTTTTTTTCACAGTTCTGCAACTCATTTCCATCTCTGAGCTATTTCTGATCTCTTATTAGAGGCCTGTGTTTTGCACCACTTGTCACCATGTTAAAAGTCACTTGGAGGTGTCAGGAGTGATTTTGACTCTAGATTTGTGCAGAGAAATTAGTTCAGCTTAGATTCTGAACTGAAAGAGAATTCTGCTCACAGGTCTTTAGAGGCTATGTTCCTTTCTATGTACCAATATCATATTATACGTTGGCTAGTACAGTGTACACTGTCACTGGCCAGTAATTAATTTTATACTATTATTACTTTTAGCAGTAATAAATAAAAGTAATTGGTAGCTTCATATTAATCCTTCATAGGAAAAATGTTTTTATTCTCCAAATTACTATTTCCTTTATATCCTTTATTTAGGAGCCTGGCTGATAAGGTCTGCTGCCTTAAATTATCTCCCAAGTCCATCCCTTGTTCTCCGGAAACACAATTTTTGCCTTAGTTGAGGCAATTATTTCTTAAGTGTCACATCAGTTTCCAAGTGTTGGTCTTCTATGTAATTTTATTTTTCATTAATATATGACTTTAAATGTCCATGTGAATCTTGTCTTTCCCATTTCCTAGAACTGAGTTGTGCCGTTCTTTCATAGTCTTTCAATTCCCAACCTTTATTTGCCTCATATACGTAACCCCATAGCCATCACTGTGCATGGTACTCACGCACAGACTTACCTCCTAGGTGTCTGTCCTTTTCCATGTGAGTTTCTTTTCTGAAGTATGAATCTAGCCTTGTTGGTTGCCAATTTAGTTTCTACAGAAGTATTTCCCAAAACAGGAATCAAGTGCAAATAACTTTATTTGGGAGGTAAAAGAAAAGCTCTAACAAAGAGTACAGAAAATGAATCAGGGTGAGGACAGCCAGAAGAGGGTGCATTTTCAACCCAGTGGCTACTTGAAGCAGAAGCCACTGGTGCTTAATCCTCTTGGAGAAGCTAGAAAACAGTACAGAGCACCCACTTCAAGAGTTCTGTCTTTTGGAAAGTGTAGGAAACTAGGGTGTTTACCCACCAGTTTTTTGAGTCATTGGTACCGGTTGTGGGTTGTGATTAAAGGGTTTCAGTATTTTCTAGAATGTCTAGTCTGATTATAAACAGGCAAAGTCGCTTGAGTGACAAGAGGCCAAGACATCCAAGTGTCAGCAACTGGAAGTCTGTGTGGTATGTAATAAGGGTGTTGAGGATAAGAATTTATGGATAAGGCATTAGCAGCTTCTGTAATCCAAGCAAAATACCTCTGCTGTCTCCCTAATGGCAAGAACCCCTTTAACATTATAAGCCAGGTGTTGTGGTTCACATCTGTAATCCCAGCACTCAGGAGGTGGATGAATGAGGATCAGATCAAGGTCATCCTCTGTCGAGGCAGAATTCTCATAACTTATAGGTCATCCTGGCCTACATAAGCAAGTTCTATGCCAGCTAATGCAGCACTAAAGGCCCTGCCTTACCTCAAAACTAAGCAAATAAAACAAAACTAAAACTAAAATATAGACAGAGATTAATAATTTTAACTTCCTCTCATAATTCTATGTCCACAATTTCATATCCATTTTTTAAGTACATAGTTTTTCAAAGGTGGAATGGGGAGGAGAATGAAATAAAATTCAGATTATCTTCAAATTCTGAAATGCTCCTTAATTTCTCTTTGCTGTCTCTGAGGAAGGACACAGAATACCACAGTCAATGCCTATTTTCTTGCATCGATTGGTGGTAAGCTAGAAATACAGCATGATGCCATTGTCCTAACCTCTAAACTTTTGTCTCTGCCCTCCCCCTTGTAGGATTTATGAAAGGCAATGCAGCATTTTGTTTTTACTAAGTATTTTATCAAATGGTACAAAATTTTATTTACCATTGTAGGATTATGTTTTTCTCAGTCTCTATTGCGTGCATTTTTCTCTGTGGGTCCAGAGAGAATAACATAATTCAGAAGGCTAAAGCATTTTAGGGTAATTTTTCATCTTGTTCAACACAATAAATTCTAGGGAAGCTCTTCAAAGGAGTTTGCCACTGGAGCCATAATGGAGTTGTATTTTTACTTGCCCTCTATAAGGAAATTATGTCATTATATTATACTTTGGAAGCTCAAATTATGTTAAGTAAAACATATTGAAATGGACATTGAAAGCAACTTAGGCAAGCATCTTACTCCAGGGCCTGCCTGGTTCATAAAAGAAGCAGTGTAATCTTTCCTCAATAAATTCACACTGGTTATTCTCTGCTGAAATTCCTCTAGAATTTGTCACTTAGAGTGGAATCCAAACTCCTGTTGTCATCAGTCTGTGCCTGATGATCTCTCCCCACCCCTTGCTGTCTGTCCCGTTATCAGAGCATCTTGTCTATTATTCCAGTGGAATATGTGTTTCTGTGTCAGAATTTTAACATTCCCTGTCCCCCGAGAACTCTTCTGCTGTGTTGCATTGGCCTATACCTCCATTCAGGATTCACATCGATGCTCAGATCTCTTCCCCAGAGGTGCACGATCCCTTTATAAACGGAAAATTAGCCCCATAATCCCTTATCCAGGTCTTGCGATCTTGGATTTTCGTGTTTCTTGGTAGTACTTGCTGTTATATTCAGAGTTCATGTATTGATTAATTACTGTTTTTTGAGACAGAGTATCACTGTGTAATCCACGCTGTCCTCCAATACATGGTTCTTCTGCTTAAGCTCCCTCATTACTGGCAGGGATCATACGCTTCACACCAATGTGCCAAACTTTGTAGTCAGTATACATTTCCTGATGGACTGACTATGGAAGAGAGAAGCAGCGTTGTCTCCTTTGTAATCAATAATGCCTTAGAAATATTCCAATATTGATTGATAAGAGGAATTTATCAAATGAATAGATCAAGAACAATACTTAAACTCTTATCCCTATTTTACTTATATCCTAGGAACGTTAGCTATGATTTGATGAGTGATAGAAGTATACAAATCTGAGATGGGCCTTTTCAAAGGGAAACAAAGGAAGCTCAGTAACTGATGTACATAGTTGGTAGTGATAGATTTGCTAAATATAAGACATTCAAAACCTGGAAAAGTTCCCCCTTCTTTCACCAAGGAAATGAGCCAACTAATTTTTTTTAAAGCAGTTGTACATTGTATCACTTACTGAATAGAAATAGATGAATTGTAATATGCTGTTGGCCAAGTCTTAAGAGTAACCTATAACCTTAAACCAAAGTGAAGGTATGATTTCTATTTTGGATGTCAAGAGGAGACGTGGATGGGGGAGGGGATCTGAATGTGAGTGGGAAATATTGTATGAAATTTTAAAAGCTCAATTAAAAAAAAAGAGAGATATTCTCCTTTGACATGTTTATCTATCCACTGTCAGTGGTAAAGTGGAAGAATAGCAGGTAGATACAGGCCCAGAGAATACATGGCTATGTTTGGAATTTTTAAATCTGTGTCTAGATGGATTCTTTGATCTTTAGTCATACTTACACAGTGTAGTGATTTTTGAGGAAGCATGGCCTTATGATTTTGCAGTACTTCATCAGTTTTGTGCCAAAAATAGATGACTGCTATGCAGACATTCTAGGAAACTTAATCATACTGGAAATATGATCCTTTGCAAATGCTGAGAATAAATGAAAGTAGATCTTAAAGTTTAGAGTTATATATATCTTGACACAGAAAGAGAAATAAAATGCCAAAGTGTGATCCATTTCTTGTGTAATTTTTTTGTTCTTGAAATTTAAATTTTTTTTTAATTTTAAGATGGCCTAAACAATAAGCATTAAAAAAAAAATTCCGCTTCCTATTTCAAGGTTTGGATGGCTATGCAATGGTTCAGAAAGCAAATACTCTGAATATCAGGGACATTTAATGGGAATGGCCGCATTCAAATAAAATTATCTTTTGTAAAACAAGTATCACACAGGATTTACTCATTTTCCAGCCCTTTTATGTATAACTGTACCCTAGATTTTTCAGGAGAAAATTGCCTTTCTTGAGGGTTAAAACTTACATAGTAGAAGAATGAGGTACATTTATCCCATACAGTCTCATTTCATTGAGTTAAATAAAATATAAATTATATAATCATCGATCCAATAGGCAATTATGAATTTTCAGTGGATGACATCATCTCCTGTGTAGTTCAGTGTAGTGTCTTCCATATAAAAATACCCACAGGATATATGCCATTTAATTTTAGATAGTTAAAACAAACCTTCCCCTTCCTGCCTTTCCTGATTAATTAGTTTGTTGTATTTTATTACATATGACTCATCACATTTCCCCTTCACTCCTGACTGGTGACTAACAGCTAACTAAGAACTAAGAGGTATATTTTCTCTCTGCTGTAATAGTCTTCCTTAGCCTAGCTTTCTTTTTTTTTTTTTTTTTTTTTTCGGGATCATGATCTCACATTCCTTCATTGACATAATTCTTTTCTGAAAGCCTGTGGGAAATATATATGCAAATATCATATGTAAGATCTGATAGAAAGGATATAATTAGTTACGGCTTCCTGACAAAAATGACTTTTGACTCTTTTTTTTAAAAAAAAAAAAAAGAAGTGTGGACTTCAAGAGAGAGGGAGTTTCTGATTAGAATAATAGAAGCAGAGCAATCAAGATAACTCTTCTGGAATATTGGGCCGAGTCAGAGTGTTATAAACATAGGTACATCTAAAAATCACAGGATGACCAATTTCATGACTAAAAGTGAATTTATAGGATAATGGCACTCTTGTGACACAAAAGTAGAAGGGGCACTACCTAAGATTCCTCACTTTCTTAAGTAAATTATAAGGGGTTATGTTTGCATTGAGGCCACTATAGATAGAAAATGACTTAGCGTAAGTAGTGCTACTTACCATTGTATTGCTAATTCTGTATGTTTCTAAGATGAGATTACTACCTTGTATGTTCACAAATTGCTACATCGCACTAATCTCATTAAATGCTAATAGCAATTCACGAATTATTAGCAGGATACTTAGTGCTACTTGGTGAAAGTTTTTAAGCAAAGAAAAAATGTTAATATTTTAAAGGGTAACATTTAGCACTAGCGGTGCTTTAATTTCTTCTCTTTTATACTTATTTTATTAAAAACTAACTCTTATGCAAATGTATATTCATGTGTTTATGCTGTTTATTTTCTGTAAATAACATTTTATAATTTTAATTTGCTTTTCTTTCAGTTGTTTTGCAGGTGTGCAGCCTGGTCCTTTACCCTATCAAGTTCATTGAAACTGTGAGCTTGAAAATTTACCATGAGTTCAATTGGGGTTATGGCCTGGCCTGGGGTGCAACTATATTTTCATTTGGGGGTGCCATTCTTTATTGCCTGAATCCTAAGAACTATGAAGACTACTACTAAAATCAAGTCTCAAAAAAAAGAAAGAAAAAAATAAAACCAACCATCTAACAAAAGATTTATGTCTACATCTTTTCTAACACTATTTTCTAAAACACTTGTGGAGCATCAAAGAGTTTGCTCAGTTGATTTAATATACTTTGCCTTTTGGCTGTCAACATCATAGCCAGCTTTTACACCCATTTTAGGAACCTGCACAAATTAAGAGAGCTGATTAGACATAGGTAAATGCTGCAAACGTTCAATATGTTCATGCTGTTCTTCTTGATAAGTGAAGGGTCTGTATGACAGCAACCATTGTGAGAAGGTAGTTGGACTGAGAATTGCCTGAATCTCCTGTTACCTGCATGGGAGCAGCTGGCATAAGCAACACTTAAAGATTCCTTTGCTATGACAAGGATTCCACTGTTCTAACACCCTTATCACCTGCTTATGGCACACAGTGACTACAGTGGCTGTTGGTTATTTGCTTGAGTGAGTTTTTGAAAAGCAAAATGCCCTTTGGGCATCTTATAAACTGGTTAATGATACACATTCCACCTTAACGAATACTCCCTTTAATGGGAGGTTAAAATTTGGCAATTAGCATCTCCTGAGAAGGAAGTCAGGATTTAGAGACATGTGATTTTCATTGCCCTTATAAAATTGTGCCTCAGCCTCATCTAGAATGAGGGACAAATTGAGGGTCTTTGTTTTCCTTGGGAAAACAAAAAAGAAATATGCATGAGTTGCTTTTGTACCCTTTGAATCATTTATCAAACTTTGCAGCAAACAGTTGTGCATATGTAACAAGCTTAAATATTTTTATAGAAAGTGAACCATTAGAATAAATGGTAATACTCCTTAATCTTCCATATACATGTATTGATCACACACATAATACTTGCTCTACTGAAGTGGTTTGAACACTAACCTTGTGCACATTAAGAGACTTCAATGGGTATTCACACTTATTTACCATACAGAAGTTCATGTACCTTCAGGCTTTTGCTCTATGTCCTTTACTGTATCACTGGAAAGTGTTCATAGAATTGCCTAAGAAGAAAAATTGAAATGATGTTCATCAGAAATGTAATGATTCTTTTGTAAGCACTGTAATTCACACGAGAGTAGCAAGGAGGAGAGAATCACTTTGTGTAAAATTCATTAAAATACAGGGCTGCTATTTTTGCAAGTGTTTGAAATATCTTCATTTTAAAAGACAGGAGTAGTGGTAGATTTAAATAAATGTCTCCGTAGAGGAGTAGAATTCATTTGCTTGTCACCTGGTCCTCTTAACTGATGGGTAAACTGATTTGTGCACGCAAGTATGATGAATTTATGTTAAGGGATTCATTCACTGACTGTTTCAAGGGAAGAAAATATCAACAATAAGGAATAAGTTTGCAATGAATTACATACTGCAAACTCTTATTAATTCTGTTTAATATACAAATCTGGATAGTTTAATTATAAACCTATTTTTATATAAAATATACAATTCTGATATGAAAGTTATAAATGATTATTTTTGTTAACAAAGGCACTAAAAGAGTATGTTCTGGTTTGACCCATTTTACGAAAAAGCAACATTCGAAAAACAACTTTCAAATATATTTATTTGGTAATATATTGTAAAATGCATTAAGACCTGCATGTCAGTCAAGTCTTTCAGCTGGTCCTAGGAATGGTTGCCAAAAACAATAGCCTTCCTCTACCTTAAAATTATTTTACTATTCAAATGTCAAAACCACTTGAGAATTTTCTATGGAATCATAAAGTAAATATGAATACCTTATCCTTATTTTAGTAACGATAGACAAATGTTTTTAAATGCATCCTGGAGATCAAACTTTATGAAAGCATATGATTCTATAAACAATCATAGACCCTGAATGGAAATTTTCCAGAACGATATTAGTATTATTGAATATTTTGAAGCAATTTTCTTAAATCATAAAATCTGGGGCAAAATCTTTAATAGTTCATTCCATATTGTCAGAACAGGATGAGAAATGTAGTATTTGCATAGGGATTCAAACTACGAACCATGGTCTGTTGTGAGATGATCTCTTTATTTTTGAACAGTGGAAGATCAGTACTTTGGTGCTGGCATCAATGAGGGCTGTTGCAGGATACAGTGTGCTATTTAGAACAATATCTAGAATCCTATTAAAGTTTCATTCTCTGTCAGTATGAGAAGGTGAAAAGTGACAGAATATGTTATAGATTGAGGCACATATATTTGCAGTTTACTGAAAAATAGATTTCTTTAACTTTCTCCATTCCTAGTAATGAGCTCTGTGCTATATATTTTTGCCATCACTAATATTTGCGGTTCTTTCACTAGTAACAATGCTCAGTACAACAGGAAAAATGTTGTTTCTCGTCCAAAATAGTACTGTGTCTATCCAAATAAACATAAGTGAAAATTTCAGCTATTGTAGCATCGTCTTTGCAGCTTTAGGTTTGTTTGATGTTTCCTTAAGCAAAATTGTTAATCACGAATCCATTGTTTA